ACCAATTTTTTATGAGTATGCTTACCTGTGTATTAAGTTATCTTGTTCTGTATCATTATGTAAATAGTTCATGCCGCTTGATATTTGCCTGGAATAGTCCATTAGCTTATTGAATGGTATTAGTTCGTTGTCTTCTGCTGGGGCTGGCTGTCCATTCGCCCTCAGCAATCTATTTTTATCTCCCTTATGAATCAGATCGAAGAGATTGCCGCGATTGCAATATTCTGCGATTTGATCACGGATTCAATTGGTATTCAGGTTTAGCTTGTGTCAACAAAACGAACGATCCAGATTTGAGACTGTATACCGAATGCCCGTGATATGATATTGGCACCAACGAGCTCTGCTGATAGCGTGAAATCACCGACTGAACCGATTGCGTCATTCTGAAATCTATGACGAAGTAACACAAGACAATGCATGCAGGACAACATCATATTCCGGAATTAAGTTACACAGAGAACATCCACCTGCTATCACACCCCCTACACGAGCAATAAACAACACCGTGTCCCTGCTGGATCCGAAATCTCAGCAAAACAATGACTCAATTGATGAGTCACCCGTTTCCGACAGGGGTCTGCTCTTACCCAGGACTAAACAGGGAGAGCTGTCTGAGTCCAAGTAGATGCCGTAGACAGCTATGATGTTGACGTGCTTCAACTTTTGCAGCATCCTGGGTTGGGTACAGGTATGCATTGGTGCGTAGTATGTGATTGTGGTCAGTGAGTGATTGTGATGGTGCTAGGGTTATTTCTCATGCCGGCTGGTGTATGGAAGAGGATATGTGTTTTGGTAAGGCTGAGTTTTGAATCTGGAATTTTATTAAAGATGTAGTTGTTGCATATTCTAGGTTGACATATTTGTGCTTTGATTGCGAAGTATTGAACTGTTGTCAGGGCGAGCTATTCCAAAATGTAAACTTTTAACGAAAGGCACACATGGGAACATTGAAATCTGGACAGAAAAAATCAGAAACCACGAGACTTGGAATAGAAATACTTACGAGAATGGTTAGACTTGAATCAAAACTGAGGAGAATCAGGCTCTCTCACACCCTTATCATATTTATACATACAAGAATGTACAGATATATATGGAGTTGAAAAACACAGTATTGCTGTCTCGTATCCACAACCATGATAGATTTTGCATAAACTTAAACCATGATAGATAAAGCATAAACATAAATCCTGACAGATAAAGCATAAACTTAAACCATGACAGATAAAGCATAAACTTAAACCATGACAGATGCAGCATAAACTCACTCGGCTTCGTGTAGCAGCTCTTCATTGCCGGCTCTGCTCTTTTTGATGGCGATGGTACGTCCCTTCCACATCCCGAGGAGCACAGTGCCGAATGCCCCACGGCTGTGTACACACGCCCACGTCATAGCAAATCAAAAATACAAAAATAGAATAGTTATTGAATATGAATCCTCTGTAATGTATTTGACATAGCGAATAAAAAGTAGAGTTTGTTAATGTACAATACACTCACCCTATTTCCTTATGTACAATACACTCACCCTATTCCCTCATGTATAATAATCTCACCCTATCTCCTCATGCACAACAAACTCACCCTATTCCCTTATGTATAATACACTCACCCTATTTCCCTATGTACAATAAACTCACCTTATTTCCATATGTACAATACACTCTCCCTATTTCCTCATGTACAATAAACTCACCCTATTTGTTAATGTACAATAAACTCACCGCATTTCCTCATGTACAATAAACTCACCCTATTTCCCTATATACAATAAACTCACCGTATTTCCTTGTGTACAATACACTCACCCTATTTCCTTATGTACAATACACTCACCTTATTTCCCTATATACAATAAACTCACCCTATTTCCTCATGTACAATACACTCACCCTATTTCCTCATGTACAATACACTCACCCTATTTCTTTTGTACAATAAACTCGCCCTATTTCCCTATGTACAATAAACTCCCCCTATTTCCCTATGTACAATAAACTCACCCTATTCCCTTATGTACAATAAATTCACCTTATTCTCTCATGTACAATAAACTCACCCTATTTCCTTATGTACAATAATATCTTCTCGCCGGATATCGCCGTACTCGATCTCACCGGTATCGATTGCGGCCACCAGCGGCGACTCAAACACAGGTCTGCCGCCGGGCAAAGCTGTGTTGAACATCGAGTTAATCCTATTTACCCCGATTGAACTATTGGTCATTAGCCTGTGACAGAATGTGAGCATACGCGGGATTAAGGGTAGGTATGTACGGGGGACATCTGAACTGTTCACATACCATACACTGGCACTGCTGGCACACGCCCAGCAATCAAGCTATACCTACAAACTCAGAGACAAGAGAGAGAGAGCTGTGACACGCACCTGAGATCTGGCATATGCCCTATATTCGGAGCGGCAGTTTCCGATTGTCTTCGGTACAAATCCGGTGGTGAGTCCAGTGGGGGTTCAATCGGCGATTTTGGTGCCGAAGGCGCATAATCGGGTTGACTATTTGGGGCGTACAACACCGAATTTAACGAATTAGGTGGCGGGTATTCTGATCCAGACTGATCTGCACCCAAGTTTGCCGGGGCATAGTTTGAACTATTATTGCTAGTACTACTGGGCCTCTCCGGAGGATAGTTCATATTATAATTGAAGTTGGCTGGCGGCGTTAAGTCGGGTTCAGACAAGCCAGCGCTGCTGTGCGTGTCTGACGCATAGAGCACCCTGGGGTGACCCTCGTTCTGGGTGTTGGTATCGGTGTTGCTTTGCGAGCTGGAGAGTTTAAGACAAGTGGTGGGATAACATTGTGAGATAACATTAGTCAATGGTGGACACACACGGACACACACACACACACGCATATATATATATATATATGCTTCACAGGGCTGCTCATACCCGGAATAGAATCCCTGCAAAGTGATCCCCACACCCCATACCAAAGCGAATTCCTATCCAAAAATCATAAAGACACACAACTTGAACTCACCTACTACCGCCGACTGAATAAGCTGGGTTGTGACCATCGTACACTTCCCGTGGCGGGGAAGGGTATGAAATCATATTGGGTGACGTGGGGGTCTCGGTGTGCGAGTGTATCTGCAAGTGTGGCTGCGAGTGTGTGTGTGAGTGTGTGCGATGGTGTGACTGCAGGTGTTGGGTGCGTCGGTGGTGTTGCGCATAATAGTCGGGTGGAGCTATGGGCGAGTGGGTTGGGGCCAGGACGAAGGCGAAGTTGTTGATGCTGCTACCGCTCCCGTTCTGCGGTCCAGAATCTGCAATCAAGGACAAAGACAGAGACAAGGATGAGCACAGGAGAGATCACGGGTTTCAGTCATATTATAAATGGGATGAGACAACTTCACGGATAGTACTAGTCCATTGACACTGTACCGTCTGCATGATGATGGCATCAAAACACCGCTATTCCTACCAACATATATGCAAACGATCCGGTTTTAATATTATGGAGTGGGGCCCAATGAGAGAGTTATAAGTAAACGTGCTGCAGTACGCGTCAAAAGGATAAAAATACTGTCATCTCACAGGGCCAAAGGATTTCGTGGCTACGATCCGGCATCCTATACGAAGGCTTATGTTCTGACTGAACTGTAGACAAACCAACACTATGAGGCTTTCTTCTACAACAGATGGTGCCCTACAACGCCACCCCTAAAAGATGCGTGTATACAATGCGGCTACTAAGACGTACTAAGAATATTGTAGAGTTGTATATATGCATGTGCACGCTTGTCTATCTTTCAAAGTTCACAAGCATTTGACAAATCACGGGAGTATTTATATACAGCCATCCTGAGTGATTATACTAAGAATCATATACGACCATGACAACCTACTTGAATAGTCCGAAGGATAAGACTCTAGTGATTGAGCGCTGGTACTCTGGTTCTGTTCATTGTTCGACAGATGTAACCTCGGGGGTGGGTAGTGTCTCGGACTTCTCGGCGGTCTGTCTGGCCTGTCTGGCCTATGGGACATGCGGATAAAAATAGATAATATTGGGATACACATTTACTACGGTAATCTAGAAATGCTCACCTGGTCCTATTTGATCCCATACACTCTGCTAATATGATGGAATGACGTACAGGTATACGTATATAGCTACAGTCGTATAACTCTAGGTGTAGCTAAGTGATAAATTAAAGAACAAGAAATGCAGATAGGGAGATGAACACGAAGATACCCGTATATATAACCATAGAGTGAAGCAGTACCCTATATAGTCACGTGGAATGGTGAGTATCTGCACACGCAAACAACATATCGCATACCTGTACGACTGCGAACCGACGTCTGGAAGACTGCCACTGCTGGTGTATTCCATCTGTTGGGCGCTCGAGTAGGGGTTTGTATGTACCACCTGCGGGGTTATATGTAGCTGTGGCGAAGTCCAATACAAGGCGGATAAAGTTAGCAGACGGCTTACTGGGCATATGGGTCTGGAATCAAATTGAGACTCTATTAGATATATATATATATATATATATTTGTATATATATATACATAAAT